AGGGGCGCGAAGTGGGAGTGGGGCGGGGCTAGGAGACCGAACTGAGGCCTAGCGCTGCGTAAGGGTGGAGTCTCGGGAGAGCTTCGCACCTGCAGGCCCCGCCCGCTCGGCCTTTGCTGTCTCTCCTTCGCAACTCTGGGAAAGAAAAGAAACTCAGCTTCGGCTGACACAAGCTAGTAGCGTCACCATTTACTCAGCAAACAAAACCTCCCCAGCCCAAACACACCCTAGACGAATTGCACCACGCCAAATGCTGAACGCACATCACTTCGTTGAAAAGTTCACAGCTATGAACATTATTCCCATTTTACAGATGAGAAAAATGAGACAAATACAGTTATCTGGCTGTCCTGCATAAAAGTGAGTTCCCATTATTTTTTAGGATAAAATAGTTATTTCACCGAGAGTTGAGCGGCACTATTTTTCTAAGCACTGGGGAAAAGTTAGTGAATTTAAAAAAAAAAAAAAAGAAAGTGTTCCTCACCCTCGAAATCCGAATGGTGCCTAGCTAAACCCTGCGTGGTCTAGTCCCTACACATACCTTCAGTCTCGACTGGCATCACACCTCATTGTACCTCTCCTGGGATCTTCTCTTCGTTCCCTAAACAAGCCCTGCTCTTTTCCTCCTGGGACTTTTGCACAGGATGTTCCAGACTCTGGAGCCCTGTCCCTGTCCCTTACCAGCATCGTTCCCTTAATTAACACCATCCTCAAGACCTCGGCACCAATGTTATCTACTCAGAATTTCAGGACTAGTCCCCCTGTTAGGAGAGTGTATAATATCATGTACTTCTCTTTCATAACCGTTTTCATACCTGTCGTTTATGGTTTTACTGTTTGATGTTTGTCTCCTCCCTTCCCCCTCTCCACAACTCTTCTAGGTTAGAGTCCTGGTGGCACTTAAGAATTTTTATTGGATGCATCTAATTTTTAGAAAGCTAGTACTTAGACAAAGGTACAAGTAAGAACAAATTGAGGAAAGAGAATTGTTCTTCAGATCAACTTTTTTCTCTTGAATCTAACTCTACCTACCCTTTGGTGTCAGCTGATGAAGTTTGCCATCTATTCCAAAAAACAACCAGTTAAATATCTGCAGACCATCATTCTGTCTTCCACACCTTCTCTCCAGGCCCAGCATCCCATCCCTGGGCAGCCATTTACTGAGCACTGCTGTGCATCATGTTCTGGGCTAGGGGTAGGGCCTGGACCTTGTCCCCTTCCTCATGTGACATGTGGCATGTAAAACCCACAATTTGCTCCCAGTGAGGAAGGGAAGTCCCACAACAAAAGCTATGTTCTGCACAGAGTGCCTGTTAAGACAGTTTGGGCAGAGGTAACTGTTACCTCTGCCCAAACTGTCTTTCTGCCCTCATCTGCCTGGTAACACTATTAATCTTATAAGGAGTAGTCCCCATACCCTGTCTTCTACATGCCTGGCTGTTCCTTCCTCCAGAGCCCCCAGGAGCCCATAGTTTCTCCTCTGTAGGAGTCTCCTTCACTCTGGACTGTAATTATGTGTCCCTGATTGCCTTCCCCAACTAGTGAGAGCGTTTGAGGGACTGTGTCTTGGTCATGTCTGTATCCCAAGGCGTGGCACCATGCCTGACACTTGGTAAACTGATGATAGGTGTTTCTTGAATCAAAGTGTGAGGTGGGGATCTTTACAGAACCACCATTGTCTCTTTTAGCTTGGATTCCCCCAACCCTAAAGAGTGCCTTCCCAAAGGTGATGAGCTTTGCTGAGGAGGCAAAGCCTCAAGGCCTGAGTCCTCTGGATTCAAAGACTCTGAGGAAGAAGAATAACAACACTAAAATCAATATAAGGAGCCCTGGTAGTGCAAACAGTTAAGCGCTTGGCAGCTTGGTGGTTCCAACCCACCCAGCATCTCCATGGAACTAAGAGCTGGAGATCTGCTCCTGTAAAAATTACAGCCTAGAAAACCCTATGGACAATTCTACTCTGTCACATGGGTTCACTATGAGTCAAAAATCAACTTGATGGCACCTAAAAACAGCAACACTAACATCAATATATGTGGCTCTGGGCCAAGGACTTTACTCACAGACAGTATTATTATTATCTCCATTTTACAAAGAGGGAGCCCAGAAACCTGAGACCCAGGAACTTGCTCAAGTCTCACAACCTCAGTGATAAGAGCTGAGATTACAAACCAGGCTGTCTGACTACAGCACTAGTGTATTTAACACCAATCTATACTCACATCTTGGTCCTCAGGGATGTTACTGCCCTGGCCTGGCCTTAGGGCATGGCTACCAGTATTAGGGCTTGCCCAACAGACACACAGAGCAGTGTGGTCTCAAAAGGCCTCCTTGTTTGGGTTGGGGACAAAGACACAGCTGCTCCAGGAATAAAGGGGAAGTGGGAATTTAAATGATTTTCATGCAGCTCTTTCCCCAGAAGTCTATAGGCCCCGGAATGTGAGGGATATGGTAAAAGCATGGCTCCTAATTTCACCCTCTGGGACACTTTTTTTTTTTTTTTTTCTTGGCAAAACAGATTTGTTACTAACTAATCCTCATTCAACATACTTCCAGCAATTCCTTCACTAAATACAGGAATGTGGCTATGAGCAGGGAGGGAGGTTTAATTAGTATCAGAAATATCCTACTTCCCATTTCAGAATGAGAAATGGAGACTGTAAGTGAGGGAATAACTTGACAACTTGTCTTTGATGAACACCTCTCCTTTTCAGAAAGTTATTACTTAAACAAAGGAGCAAGGAAGAAGAAAAAGAAAAAAAAAAGGTCAGCCTGAGACCAGAAGAACTAGATGGTGCCCAACTACCACCAATGAATGTCCTGACAGGGAACACAACAGAGGGTCCCTGATGGAGCAGTAGAACGATGGGATGCAGAACTCAAATACTAGTAAGAAGACCAGACTTAATGGTCTGACTAAGACTGGAGGTTTCCTGGAAAGCATGGCCCCTGGTCTCTCCATCACCCCAGAACTAAAACAACTTCCAAGGCTACCTCTTCAGACAGGGATTGGTCTGGACTGTGGGACAAAAACTGATACTCGTGAAGAATGTGCCTCTGAGACAAGTAGATATAAGAGACCAAAGGGGCGGCTTCTGTCCAAAGGTGAGAGGGGAAGGCAGAGAGAGTTGGGAGCTGGTTGAATGTTCATGGGGAATCAGGGGCAGAAGGGAGGAGTGTGCTGTCGCAGAATGGGGTGAACAGTTGGGGTCTCATAACAATGTATGTTTAAAAAAAAAAAGAAAATTCTGTATGGGAGACCAACTTGAAATGTAAACTTCATTTAATTACATCAATTTAAAAAAATGGGAAAAGAAGAAGAAAAAAAAAAAAACGTACAGGAGTTGTACTTCAGACCAACTTTCTTCTCTGGAACCCAATTCTACTCCTTGGAGTCAATAGATAAAGTTTACAGTCTCTTAGAAAAGACAGCCAGTTAAATATCTTAGGATATTCAGGGGATTGGACTTGGGAGGCTGGTGGACAATAGTAACCAAGACTAGGGAATAATGGTGGAGGTGAACCCTTCCTGAGCTGAGGTCGCTGGGGATGGGGCCAGGAGATCAGAGTCCTGGCCTTAGGCACCGGGAATTGTCCCTTTCTCATACTCACAGTAGAGAGCCTGGGGGCCACTGAGTCATCCTGGCACTGCCTGGGTCCAAACGCCCTGGATGCCCTGAAGAATACTTCCTGTCACGGGCCCTCTTCCACTGCAAAATTGCCCGGAAGGGAAGTGAGGGGGCTGGTTGGGAGGAAGGGGTGGGGAGGGGACTGGCATTCATCCGAGGAGGAAACGGTGAAAACACAGGGTTACTTAAATTCTTAGAGTCCTCAGGAATTGGGACAGATCCGCGTGCGGAATCCTGCGAGTGCCCTTGTAAAGGAAAGAAGCCAAAGCCCTTTCCAGAGTGCGTCAAGGGTGTAGAGGCTCCGAAGCCCCTTAGGCCATGGTGAGTGTTGCGTCTGCGGGCAGAGGAATGCAAGGGGATCCTCAGGGGCGGGCTCGGACGGCCTTGACCTCCGCTCTCTCCCCAGGAGCTCTCGCCCAGCCTGTTGCTGCTGTTGCTGCTGCCGCCGCAGCTGGCCGCTTCGGAGGCCACGCCGGAGCCGTGCGAGCTGGACGATGAAGATTACCGTTGCGCCTGCAACTTCACGGATCCGCAGCCTGACTGGTCCAGTGGAATCCAGTGTATGGTTGCCGTCGAGGTGGAGATCCGTGCCGGTGGACACAGCCTGGACAAGTATCTAAAGCACGCGGATCCTGACTCGCAGCAGTACGCTGACATGATAAAGGCTCTGCGCTTGCGGCGGCTCACCGTGGGCGCTGCCCGGGTTCCTGCCCGGCTCCTGTTCGCAGTCCTTCGTGCGCTCGGTTACTCCCGCCTCAAGGAACTGACGCTGGAGGACCTGGAGGTAACCGGCACCTATCCGCCGCCGCCTCTGGAAGCCACAGGGCCTGCGCTCTCCACCCTCCGCCTGCGCAACGTGTCGTGGGCCACGGGGGGTGCCTGGCTGGCCGAACTGCAAAAGTGGCTCAAGCCAAACCTCAAGGTACTGAGCATTGCGCAAACACACCCGCTTGCTTTATCTTGCGAGCAGTTCCGCACCTTCCCGACTCTCACCACCCTAGACTTGTCGGACAACCCTGGACTGGGCGAGCGCGGGCTGGCTGCGGCCCTCTGTCCTCACAAGTTCCCCGCCCTCCAGGATCTGGGGCTGCGCAACACAGGGATGGAGACTCCCAACGGCGTGTGTGCGGTGCTGGCGGCGGCTGCTGTGCAGCCTCACCGCCTAGACCTCAGCCAGAACGCGCTGCGCGCCACCGCAAACCCCGGCGGCCCTAGGTGCGTCTGGCCCAGCACATTGAGCTCTCTCAACCTGTCATTCGCTGGACTGGAGCAGGTACCTAACGGACTGCCGGCCAAGCTCAGCGTGCTGGATCTCAGCTGCAACCGGCTGATCAGGGCGCCGCGGCCAGATGAACTGCCCCAGATGGAAAACCTGATACTGGACGGGAATCCCTTCCGGGACCTTGGAGACCCCAAACCCCAGCAGGATACAATGAACTCTAGTGTGCCCCTAGCCTGTGTGCACTCGCTCCTGGCCATAGGAATATCAGGAACCTTGGCACTGCTCCAAGGGGTCAGGGGCTTCGTCTAGGTCCCAGGGGGATCAGAGTGAATGGACTCAAGTTGCACTGACTGGGGAGGGTGGGGGGAGGGCTGTCAGCAGGAGGTCTCTACTAACCAACCCTCTACCCCACTTTATTAATATCTTAAACAGATGACCCCCGTGTTATCCATTCAACAGATCTTTACTGGGTATCTACTAGATGCTGGGCCTGGAATCCATACTTTGACTTTCTTCATCCTACCTCCCTAGGTACCCTACCCCCCTACCCCAAGGAAAGAACTACAGAGGAAGATGAGGCAAGGAAAAGGTCTGTATGTGAGGCGGGGGGGTGGGGGAGCTTCATAAGTTTCTGTACAATCAGGGATTTCTGATAAAATACTGGCAACTGGATTATTAATAGATGTTTGAATGGTAAACATTCCTGGAAGATACAGAATGTTTTCTCCCTCGTGCACTCCCAGAAACATCTGCTCCCGCTCAAGGGTAATAAAACTCAGATCCATTTGCTTACATACACACAAACACACACACACACTCATTCTGTCTTTCTGTCTCTTCCCTTCTTGCTCTCTGTCTTCCCCATCCCCCAAGAGAGGAAGGACAGCTGTATCACCTGTCTGATATAAGCAACGAGTTCCGTAACTTCAGGGGTCTTCTGTGGTGTAAACGCCCTCTGCACACACAGGTACCCTGGCTTCCACCAAGACACCCCATGAGAAATTGGAACATGGGGAACTGATGCAAGCTGCTCTGGGATTAAACAGTCCATCTCTGAACTGAAGATATTGTGATTCTGTTAGTACATATGTGTATAACTATGGCAGGCTGTCTTTTTAACTAGCAAATAGGGTAACATCTCAGACCCTTCACAGGGTCTTAACAGTCTGGACCCTCTGAACCACATTAACTCAGACATCTAAGAGGGTGGTCAAGGAATGCAGTTCCTTTTTCAAGTGTCTTCTTCTTCATTACATTGAGGCAGTCACCCATCAGAGAGCTGAACACTGCCTCACAAGGAACATGGGAGAGGGATAGGTGGAGGAATATAAGCTCAACCCTGCTTCTTTGCTTCCCTCCTCCTTTCAGAGCCACAATGGTAGAGAAAGGGAATAGAGAATTAACATTGATGGGAGAGTTGCACAGGTCATCAGACCATAGACTCAAAGAATCTCAGAGGATGGCCAATTTAACTTGCAACCTGAGTCAGGAAACCCCCCTGAAGTGTCCCTAAGGAGTCTTCCTCCAGACTGTTGGGACATGTCTAGTGTCAAAAATGAACCACTTCTAGCCATTTTCATACATTCGAATATCTCTGAATTGAATACCTCTGACCACTCTTCACATAGCTACAGAGCCCCTGCTCCACATCAGGCCTTGTGCTAGAAGTCTGGTATGCCAACATGAATCAGAAACATCTATGCCCTCAGGGAATGCTCACCCAGTAAGAGAGAGAGACAAAAGATAGTTGTGATTCAATGAGAGAGAGGCATCAACTCTACAGGGGTCTGTTATGGATTGAATTATTAAAAAAAAAAAAAATTGCTGTGGAGTGTCTTCCAACTCATAGCAACCCTACAGGACAGAGTAGAACTGCCCCTGTAGAGTTTCCAAGCAGAGGCTGGCAGATTCCAACTGCCCACCTTTTGATTAGCAGCTATAGCTCTTAACCACTGAACCACCAGGGCCTGGAATGAATTATGTCCCCCAAATATTTGTGTTGTAAATCCTAACCTCTATGCCTGTGGTTATAATCCCATTTGGGAATGGGTTTTCTTTATGTTAATGAGGCGTGATTAGTGTAGGGTATATCTTGAGTCAGTCTCTTTTGAGATGTAAAAGAGATTAAACAACTGGGCAGAAGAGAGATGGGGTAAGACACATGGAGATCTCTAAGGAACCAGGAAGCAGAAGCTGAAGAGACGAGGACTTTCCTCCAGAGCTGACAGAGACAGAAATGTTTCCCCTAGAGCCAGTGCTCTGAATTTGGATTTCTAGCCTCCTAAACTGTGAGAAAATAAATTTGTTTTTTAAAGTCATCCATGTGTGGTATTTCTGTTACAGCAGTACTAGATAACTAAGACGGGGTCTTACAAGATTTTTGGGAGGTCTTACAGAAAAGGAGACATTTAATTTGGCCCTGAGGGATGAATATTAATTCCCCCGTGAACCACATCCCAGGAAATGGGGGGGGGGGGCAGCATGTTCAAAAGCTTGTAACCTTGGAAGTGTATGGCTAGACCTGGGAATTGTAATGGGCTTGGTATGGCTAGAGATCCTGGTGAGAGGAAGCTGGAGATATTCATTCATTTAAGTGTCTAGTATATTCCAGGCACTATCTAAGCCCTAGGAAAACAGCAGTGAACAAAGCTGAACAAGTTCCTGCTCTTATAGAGTTCAGATTTTGGTTGAAGGGTGGGGGAAGGGGATACACACATATAATATAATCTGACATGTAGTATGTCAGGTTGTGACAAATGTAATGCTATGAAGAAAAGGGACAAAGAGTGTTCAGGATGGTCACGTTACATAGGATGGTCAGGAAAGACTTCTCTGATAAGGGGATATTTGAACAGAGACCAGGGTGGACTGAAAAAGGGAGCTTGCAGATATCTGGGGGAAAGTATTTCAGGGAGAGGGAAGAGGGAGTGACATGATCCCGAGGTCTCTGGGATGTTAGAGGGACAGGAAGGAGTCCAGTGTAGCTTCTGCAGAGTAAGCAAAGGACAGAGAGTGGTGAGAGATAAGGTCAGAGAGGTAGCACGGACCAGATCATGTAGGGCCTTGTAAAGAAATGCTACACAAAGTGTGGTCCAGGACAACACCAGTCTGAAAAATTGTTTATTATTGCACAATGATGAGGTCAGCACAAAGTCAAGAATAAGTGTTTAGAAACTTTTATAATAGTTTCACATTGCAGCAACATTTTTATTCTATTTTACAAAAATATCATCTGCAATGGATTGGAAGTTTAAAAAAGAAACTGGCCCTTTGCCACAGAGAGTTTGAGAAGCACTGTACGTGAAGAACATAGTAAGCACTTTAGCTCTGGCTCTGAGTGAAATCGGAAGCCATCTCTTCTCTGAGCAAAGATATGAGTAAGGGCATGTCCTGAAGGGACTTGGAGGCCACTCTGCAGAGAAGGAGGAGTCAATAAGAGGTCTAAAGCAGTCAATTAATAGAATTGGGGTGTATTTGGAAAAGCCCACTGGTGGCCAAGTACAAGATGGACTGGTGGATTCCAAGGGAGCACTGAGGGGGTTATTGAATGTGTCCAGGTGAGCAAGGGTGAAGACCTGAACAGGATCACAGTAGCTGTAGGGATTGAAGGGAAGGATGAGTCCAAGAGCTCTTAAGGAGGCAGGGCTAACAGGTCCCAGGTTGACTGAATGTGGTGGGCAAAGACAGATAGAGGGCCCAGGTTTCCAGCTTAGGTGATGACATTGGAGCTTGTAGGGATAGAAACTCGAAAAGAAAAGAAGATTTTGCAGACAGGGCCACTTAAGAGTTTGAAGTGCCTCCAGGACCTCCAGATGAAGAAGTCCAGTAGCCAGTGGGGTCTACAGCTGAGGAGACAGGTTTGGGCTGGATACACAAATATGGGGAGCCTTTGATGTCGAAGTGGTTGTGGAAGTCATAACCACGGATAAGCTCACCAGCCCGGGAGGTCATAGAGTAAAAAGGAGAAGTCTGAGGAAGTTAAGTTGGGAAACACTGATGAATGTTTAAGAATGGTGAACAAAGGGTCCTCAAAGGAGACAGAGAAGTAGGAAGAGAACTCAGAAGTTAAGCTGGGGGATACAGGGACAGAGTGGTCAGCAGTCTCTTATGCCTGCCTCTCTACCTCTATCTTCATTCTACACCCCTCACTCAACACATCTTAGAACTCTGGCCTTCTCCCTTTCATATTTGCTCTTCCTTCTGCCTGGAATGCTCTTGTCATTGATTTATTCATTCATTCAATAATTATTTATTGAGTTTCCACTACCAGGCAAGCCCTATTCTAGATGCTGAGGATACATAAGTGAACAAACCAGAAAGAGTCCCTGATGTTAAAGTATTGGGGGTGGAGGTTAGAAATTGCAATTTTAAGTGTTGTGGGTTGAATAGACCTCCCTGAGGAACTCAGATCTGAGTTGAGAGAGTGAGCCTTGCAGTTTTCTGGGGGAAGAACATTCTAGGCAGAGAAATTACCAAGTTTAGATGAAGTGTGAAGGAAAAGACCCTAACTGGAGAAGTCTGAACAGAATGGGGACACACAAACTATGCTAAGCGCATATGAATAACACTTTCAAGGAGTTTTGCTTTAAAGCGGCACAAAAAAATGGCACAGTAAGTGGGGTCAAGAGTTTTCTGAGTTTGTTGGTGTCTTAGTTTTATGTAGTGCTACTATGACAGAAATACCACAAGTGGATAGCTTTAACAAAGAGATATTTATTTTATCACAGCTTAGGAGGCCAGAAGTCTCCTAGAAAAATTCAGGGTGCCAGCTCTAGGGGAAGGCTTTTTCTCTCTATTGCTCTGGAAGGTCCTTGTCTCTTCCACGCTTCTGCTCCTCAGAAATCTTCATGTAGCTTGGCATCTCTCTTCCCCCATCTCTGCTTCTCTTGTGCTTGTTTAATCTCTTTTATATCTCAAAAGAGATTGATTTAAGTCACACCCTATGCTAGTCCTGTCTCATTAACACAACAAAGACAACCATTCCCAAATGGGATTATAACCACAGGCGTACAGGTTAGGATTTATAACATATATTTTGGGAGGGTCACAATTCAATCCATAACAGTTGGCTTTTAAGATGAGAAAAATAATAGCATTGTTGTATAAATATGGGAATAATACAGTAGAGAGGGAAAACTTGGTGATTTAGGAGAAAGAAGGGGAGCCTGCTGCAACAATGTCCTTGAGAAGGCAAAAGGAACTGGCACCTAATTCACTAGTGGGAGCGTTGGCCGTAATACAAGAACATCGTCAATTTATAGTACCAAGCTGGAAGGCAGAGTATATGGGCAAAGATGCCAGTGGGTAGACATGGTAGGAGAAACTTCTTTGGAACTTGCTGTGGAACTTCCACGAAATTGAAGCCCTAAGCACAGGTCTACATAAGGTAGACTCTTTTTCATTGTTCAGGATTCAACTCCAATGCCACCACATCTGACAGAGCCTTTCATGCCCTTATCATTTTCTATTACAACATGCTCTTTTATTTTCTTCGCAGCATTTATCTTGACTAGACATAGTCTTCTTTATTTATATCTTTATTGGTTTATTATTGGGTTCAAAGCTCCATAAGCAGGATTGTCTTGGTCATGTTCAGTTCTGAATCTCCAGACCCTAAAAATAGTGCCTGGCCCCGGGCAGGTACTCAATAAATCTTTATTGAGTGATGGATTGAATGGATGAGAGGAGTGGGCTGAGGGCTGGGCATTGTTGTCATGGGGAAAGTAAGAAAACATTGACTAGCATTATTAGACTAAGGTCAAAAAAAAGAGATTACCCAACTAAGTTTGGAAGCCATAAGTTATGTACCCACAGTCCAGGTTCGAGGCAGGTGATTTTTTTTCTTCTATAGTGCCCCGCTACCTGATGACAGTATTCATTCATCCAAGCATGGGGTTGGGGAGAAGGACAGGCCCAGAGAAAGCCCAAGAATTGAAAAAAAGTTGCACTCATAAGGGCATGATAGAAGAATGTGCCCTAGACAGGGAAGGAAGTAAAGCAAGGAGGGGAGATAGACTGAACTGGGTTTCACTCCAATATGGCACAATGAGTTCAGATTTATAGTATGATAGACTTTAGGATGGAAAGGTAGGAAGCGAGGTTACAGCACTTTGTCTTCTGAGCTAAAATCTATTTCTCTATACCTTGTCCTCTTCTGCTGGCTCTGGTGTCTAATCTCAGATAGATATCTGCTTCCTTTCTTCCTCTCTAATCAGGTCTTCTCTACTGCAACACCAAAAAACCCCAACCACTTCTTCTAATACTCAGAGACACCTTATTATCCTGGTGGTGGGAGGATCTTTATGAATAACTGAATGAATAATTTCTTGAATAATTTCTTTTATAAGGATCAGCACTAAGCTGGTTCTTATGGGGCAGAGGTTAAAGATGTCCCAAATATCCAAGTTTTCTAAACTCTTGTCCCACTCCATCATCTGTAACATCAACTATTTCTCCTCCCCTCAGTACTCTCCCCCCCATCTTTGGTTTCCTTAATTCTCTACAATGTCTCACAGAACTCATGAACTGTATCTCAAAGAAATGGATCTCATGCAGTTGTGGAGGCTGGCAAGTCCCAAATCCAAACCCAAACTGGGAGGTCAGAAGACAGGCTGCTTGCTCACAAGGCTGTGGAAGCTGGCGAATCAGGTCGGACAATAGGCTGCTGGCTCATGGGGCTGTGGAAGCTGGCAAATCCCAGAATCAGCAGATCAGATGGTAGGCTGCTGGTTCAAGCTCCAAGAACTGCAGGTCAGAGGATCACGAACCGGATGTGGGATCCAGAGTGAGAGAGAGAGAACTTCCCCAAAGCACTCATATACATTTGATGCAGA